TTAACTAAATGGCCATTGATATAATCGAGTGGAGAAAAATGATTCATGTAATCGATTTGGTTGGTTGGTTGGTATTTTTATATCATAAATATACAATCTCCATACAACTTATCTCCCATACCACAAAAGATTTTGAAGTAAAAAAGGCTTATAATACATGTTCATTGATAATAATAAAAAAATAAAGCCAAATTACTCTTACAAACTAGCAGTGAAAATTTTGGTTGTCAATATGTGATTATTAGAAATACAAAGCAAATAAAAGTCAAGTAATGAAAAATAACTAAGCATTCACATTCCATGTATAATTGTATATATTAAGTTGAGAAATTAATCTTTTTATTGTTATAATAGGGAAAAACAAGGTCACTCTAACATTTTTGGGACCCTAAGAACTCCTAATATGGGGACTTTTATATATTAAAAAGAAAATATGATCAAAAGATTATGCATAATTTTTTTAAATTGTACTTACGAAAATGTTATTTCCATTCCATATACAACTAGCAAAATTTACTTAAATTTGTAACAAATTTTACAATAAGAAAAATGATCAAAATACTCTGTATAGCGATCCTGGTTGTCCCTTTACTGTTCTGTTGTATTCCGGACTCGGTTCCGTGAAGTTAGTAATTGTATCTATCTTGTTGTCATCATTTAATTCCACTTGATTGAGTTTTAGGATGTATTGAGCAGAGTTGTTACAGGTTGGTTAGGCCTTGGTTTTAATTCTTTGTTGCCCAGTTTTTAGGAGGTCCGCTCGAGCGGGTCTTCTTGCGCTCGAGCGGAGATTGCACACTCCCAATTTTTCGTGTCCCTGCAAAACTTCTGTAGGTGTGTTTTTCACGCTCGAGTGGGTTTCTTTGCGCTCGAGCAGGTACTTTGGCGCTCGAGCGGGTAGTACCTTTGGGTGTAAGTTCTGAGAGCAGGAAATCTACGCTCGAGCGGACTGGTTTTCGCACTCGAGCGGGTTTACTTTATTCTTGTGTCTTGGCGCTCGAGCGGGTCTTTTTGCGCTCGAACGGACCTAGTTTTTGTTCTTGACGCTCGAGCGTTGTGTTTTCCGCTCGAGCGGGAATGTCGTATATCAGTTGGCTGTGAGGCAGTTTTAAATCACTTTTTCTCATCCTTTCTCTCTCTTACTTTTCTGAAAAGGCCATTTGAGAGCCTCTCTCTCTAAAACCTTGCCTTCTCTCTAGATATTGACCTAGCTAGGGTGTTTTCCTCACCTTTGGCCTTTACAAAAAGGTTGTTGATCGTCGAGGGCTATTTTTTGATCCGAGAAACTCGTGGTTTGGCGCAACTTCATTTTCACCATCTTCCTCGTTGGGTCTCATCTTTTGAGGTAGGAATTCCTACTCACTCTTATGGGTTTTAACCTAGATTTTGAGTCTATTGTTTAAATGGTTGATTTTGGGACTTAGGGTTTCAAAATGTGTTAAAGAGGGTTTTATGATTTTGGGCTCATAATATGTATTTTGGGTTTCAAAATGATGATATTGTTGTTGGTTGGTGATATTGGAACCTTTGGGTCAATATCGAGAGTTGGGGGTAAAAGCCCTAATTTGTTGTTTAAAATTAATTGGTATAATTAATTTGGGAAAATTGTGAACTTATGGAATTGAGTTGGAAATAATGAAATTGGCTCATTATGTTGTGAAATGATGGAGTTGGATTTATAAATCGCTCACTATTGAAAACATTGATATTTTATCTGTTGGAGCTTTTATTATCTGTTTAGAAATAATTGCTTGGGCTACCGGTGGAGGGTAGTTTTGATTGTTGTAGACAATACATGATGATTAGGTAAACTAAAACTAATTAATTGAATATGTCATAGAGTATGACGGTTGATAGAATACATTAACGTTATGTATTGATTGATTGTGCATATGACCTTTGTGTATACATGCATTGTGTGTGTGTGGGAGGAGATAGGGGATGTACTCCACGGTTTAGGGGAAGATAGAGGATGGACCTCTAAACCAGATATTGTTTGGGAGGAGATAGAGGATGGACTCTACTGATACAACTCATATGCTTGTCAGATAATGTGTTGATATAGCTCATATGCTTATCCTTGGAAGTGTTGATACAGCTCATATGCTTATCTAATTGGGTAAATTACACTTATCAATTTGGAGATTTATAAAAAAAATATCAAATTTCATAATTTTAATATAATTATGTTAATTTTTTTTAATATTTTAATTTACATGACATTTAATTCTATTTTTTTAGCCATTGATGTAAATTTTGAAATTGATAAGAAATGGAAATTGAAATGGAATATGAACATAGTGGTCATGAAATGGAAATGGGTTATGAATTGGTTTATGAAAATTGAACATTTATCAATTGCTAATGTCTTAGTTATTGCTCATACTGTGTTTAGCATATCTCTACTGGGCGTTGGCTCACCCTTTATGGGACATTATTTTTAGGTTCAGGTAGTATGCCACCTCCAAGGACATAGCTTGGACGTTGATGAGAGTTGAAGACTCTTCTTTTATTTATTTTGATGTATTACATGTAAATTCAAGCCAAGGGCTTAATATGTATTGAGTTAGTACTCTTCTTTTTGTAACCAAGTGTTAACTTGGAAAGTTGTAAGCCCTTAGAGCATTTGCTTTTGTTGTTAACATGTAATACAGTTGTAGAATTACTCTGATAAATAGAAATGGTTAGCTTATTTCATATCAATGCATATCTAATGAGATGGGTTTTATCTATTTTTTTGAGGGCGTTACACTCTGAGCTCAACTACTAAATAAAAAGTGAACAAACTGTAACAAAATATCATTTGAAGATTATTTTTGCATTTTTAACTGCAAAATTGTTGGTCAAGCTTGCACAATTCATTTATCAAATAAATCATTTTCAATGATAAAATTGCTAATCCATTAAATTTTTATTGTAACATAGTTGATCGAAAGTAATATTTAATTAATATTAAATTCGATTTTTTTTTTCTCTCTCTAGAAACAACTGTAAATAGGTCCAAAATGCCTCCAAATGGGGCGGAACCATATTTCTCAAAATACAAGTTTGAGCAAGCTTTGCGAAGCCAATAAATATCCTGGACTTTGTTATGGACATTGAGGCCTTGTTTGGGTAGAGATTATTTGGCTGAAATAGTCAATAAAAATAAAATAGATTAAAATAATCAATATGATAAATATTATATCTAATCTATAATCATTTTACTTTTTAAACATAATAGCCAAAAAATTATCATCTTAAACATAGTTTTTTTAATCAAGCCAAAATAGCCAAAAAAATCAAATAGCCAACTAAAATGGCATATTTCCAAACGGCACCAGTCATAAAATGAACTGTCATTGCTTAGTAGCCATGGGCTGAACTATTGGGTGGGCCTCTTCTGTGCAATTGAACCCTTTTTAAAATAAAATACCCATATAGAACTTAGGCCATGTTTGGCTATTGTGATAGGATTTGATGAACAATTTAGTGGGTTATACTGAAATCATGTTTGGTATCGCAGAATGATATGGGACTATGGATTCTCCAAAACGGTGGGATTAGCTTGCCCATGAGGGTGTGGTATTGATAATCCTATCTTATGTGATTAGATAACTAAAAGTTCGTTTGGCATTGGTTAATATAGTCAATTTTTTTGTGTTGAGATTTTTTTTGCCTAATTTTTTTAGTCTCATTTGGTTTTTGTTTTAGATTTTTTTTGACTTTTATGAGAGAAAAAAAATGTAATGATTATGGATAAAAAATAGTAATTTGTCTTATTGATTTTTGTAGTCAATTTTGTCTTTTTATGATTATTTAGCCCCAAAATAAATGACAAACCAGGACTAAACATTATTTTGCACCTACTTTATGAAAACAAAGAAGTCACATTACCTTACACTACATTGTGATGAATCCCAGCTAAAAAGACTATGCTATAAATCATAATCAACACCATATGGTATCATAACAAAAAAACCTTACTCTTGAGTTATAACAAAAAATCACTATAAGTTATAGCCGATGCTACAATGATAATTTTCATACCACATTAAATCATAATAAAATAATAATAATAAAAAAAAAAACCTAGTTTGAATTATAACAAACACTACAATAAAACATAACTTTACTTCAAAAGAGAAATTACAAATTACACAGAAACATTATTTATAATTGCTCTCACAAAAGCTAATAGCATCCACATAGACAAATATTACAGAACAAAACATTGCTTACTGAGTTGGTTTCTTCTTCCCTTCCTTTGCACCCTTTTTTGAGTTTGCTTCCTTGTTCCAAATTTCTCAACAAACCATTCATGATACCTTGTGGTCAGAATGCGCCCAATGACAAGCCCAACTATTAGCCCACTACCATAACCCAATAATATGATAATCCAGTCAACAACACCACTTGGAAACTTTGAATCATCACCATGAAAGCACAAGGATGGTGGTGGTGAGGCCTCTGAATTTCCACATAACTTCGATAGAGGATAACCACAACCCGGAATTCCCATCATATGATCTGTTTTCAAATGTATCAAACTGATTCCCTCGAGGAATTAGGACAGTGAGATGGTTGTGAGAAACGTTTAGGAATTCAAGGAAAGTGAGTTGGGAGAGTTGTTGAGGGATCTCTCCTGAGAGCAAGTTCTGCGAAAGGTCCAATGATTCCAGCTCGGTCAAATTTGCCAAGGATGATGGGATGACACCAGTGAGACTGTTGTTGAAAAGATTTAACATCTGAAGCCCATTGAGCCTTCCAAGAGATTCAGGAATTTCCCCTCCGAATTTGTTGTTTGACAAATCAATAGCTATGAAGGCTGTTTGAATTTTCGCGTATACTCTATGTGTGCCTTTGTTGTCCATTGCTACTGAATACATGTAAGGCATTGTATACAAAATTACGGATCCCGATCTTGAATTTGCAATTCCAATTGGAGCGTCTTGACTTGCCTGCATATATGTTAACTTTTCTCTCTGGACCATTGTCATTGCATTCCAGTTTTCGAAGTATTATGACGGTAAGTTACCCGAGAAACCATTGTTAGAGAGGTCAATGATGCGCAATTTTGCAAATTTTAATTTGGCTTGAGAAACATTCATGGCACCATGAAATCTGTTAGATCGCAAAATAAGAACTTGTAACTTAGGAAGAGCTCCCAACCACGAGGGAAAAGTACCCTCCATTTGATTGTTACCAAGAAGAAGAATCTCAAGCATTGTACAATTTTCCAATGATCTTGGTGCCAGACCATGTAATTGATTTTGACTTAGATCAATCATCATGTCAGGAATTGCGCCGTGAAAATTATTGTGACTTAGATTGAGCACCTGTAGAGAATCACTACAACTGGGCAAACATTGAGGAATCGTGCCACTAAAGTTATTATCAGACAAATCTAAAAATTTAAGAGAACTATTGTGGCAGATTATTGATGGTGGAATTTCTCCGGATAACGAGTTACCAATGACCTTATAAACAATGGTGGACAGTGGTGGAATTGGTAGTGATCCTTGCAGTCTATTAAAACTGAGGTCTAAAAATAGTAGTGACCGCCATGGAATGACATCTGGATGCTGTTCAAAACCTGTCAGAAAGTTGTTCCCAAGTTGGACCTCTCGAATATTTTCTTTAGTGTTGTTCCAAAACCAAGTTGGTATTTCACCTTGAATTTTGTTATTATCAAAAAATAACACCTCCAATTCATCCTGGAACTGTAGGAAATTGGGGAACTCTTTCATGTTACATGATTCCAATCCTAGAACATTAAACTTTGGAAGTGTAGCATTGGTAATATTTTTGGTAACCACTGTCAATTTGTTCCCTGACAATTGCAAGGCAGCAAGGTTTTGGAGCTTCGAAAAAATGTCTAACTCTACTTCACTGCTCAAGTTGTTTTGATTAAGATTAAGCCATTCAAGATATTTGAGTTGAGAAATTGAGTTTGGAATCATGCCATGTAGTTGATTGTCTGTGATTTCTAGACCTGTTAATTTGGTGAGGTTCATAAGCCAAGATGGGATTTGACCAACTAATTCATTTGAATTGATAAGCAAAGTGGATAGCTGGGTCAGGTTGGCTAAAAACTGTGGTATCTCACCCCGTATTTTTATATCTGCAAGGTATAAGTCAGTGAGTTTGGATAGCTTACCAAGTGTCAAAGGTAAGGTTGGTGCATCAAAATTATTTTCACCAAAACGTAAGACGGTTAGTTGTGATAGGTTTCCCAGGGATGCAGGAATTTGGCCCCAAAACTGGTTCACACGAAGGTCCAAGCAGGTGAGTTCGGTCACACTACCGAACGAAACTGGAAGCATCCCAGAAAAATTACATCCTACTAAATCCAATTTCTTTAGGGGACTACTAAGGTGAAATTCAGGCAGATTACCAGTGAGATTGTAATTTTTTGCCAGCCTTAGAATCTGAAGGTTTGGTAGTTGAAAAATGGTCGTTGGGAATTCACCATACAACTGACAACTCTCAAGAAAAAGAGTTGTTAGTGAAGACATATTTGACAATGCACGAGTCACTGTAGAAGATACATTTACCCAACTGAGGTCAAGTACCTTCAAGCTGGTAAGATTTTGAACTAGGTCTTCCAAATTGGGGTTTTCAAGTTTCAGAGCATTTCCAGAGAGATCGAGGTAGACCAACTTTGAAAGATATGAGATATTTGAAGGGATTTGACTAAAAAATACAGAGTAGGATAGGTCTAGACTTGTTAGCCTTGAAAGTTTTCCGATTCTAGATGGGATTTGAGAATAATTGAAGTGATTGTCGGAAAGATTCAGCCTCTGGAGGTGAACCAAGTTGAAGAGGCTACTATTGAAGTTGATAGAACCGTAGAGAAAACTGCTGCTGAGGTCGAGGCCAACCACATGACCATTGTTGTGGTCACACTTGACGCCATCCCATGAGCAACAGTCACCACTTTTTCCTTCGAACTTCTTCCATGATTCAACCTTTGAACGAGCTGAACGATCACCTGAAGCAAACTTGTTAATAAGAAGGCTATGCTTGAACTGCAGCAAGGATGAACTCTCATCTTCATGGCATAGTGGCTGCGCAGAAGAGGAAGAGTTAGTCAACATTATAAAAAGATGAAAACAACCCAAGAGCATGAACACATGAAGATAGAAAGATGAACCCATGTTGGATAACAAACTCTAAGTTACCAATCTTGGATGATGAAGCTAATGGCTGTGATGTGCTTTTATAGTTGGGATTAGAGTGTCTCAAAAATACATACTAACTAGCATGCACGAAACATGGAAAAGTCTATAAACAAGTGTCAACGTCCTTGTGTATAAAAATAATAATTAAATTGGTGAAAGAATTGACAAATAACCTTGCAAATGACTAGTGCTCAGAATTCCTAATCGGTGATTAAGAATCTAGTTTGCAACATTCCATTATAATTAGTCATTTTAATTTAAATTTACATTGAAGGGACAAAAAAAAATATATATCATTGCATTTTTTGTATCATACGGTGTACATCAATAAGGTTTAGTTGTTAGAAAGGAAAGGGCAACAGAAACACATTGAACTTGTGACCTCCCATCGCAAAACGTCCTAGAGTTTAATTGTTAAATACTTGTTAGGTCCGTTTGGATGGATTTGACTTTCAAATCGAGGGATTTCAGATTCAATATTAGTTCAAGAGAAAAACTATGTAAGAAGCTAAATTGAAAAAGTGTAGATGTATTTTAATAAGATCCAGATAGTTAAAAGAAAATATTCAGTATGATTTTTTCCTACTTATTCTGGCCAATCAACATAGAACAATAGATGTTAGGGCCTAATGCGGGCAGAGCGGATCAACAAGGGAGATTGCTCAAACCTAAGCCACTTGATTGACAACCAACCTATATGTATATGCTATCCGGCTACAAGGCCTTTGGCTTACTATGATTTCAAATAGTGGAATTTTTATTTTATCTAAATTATCATTTAAAAAAAAATTTAACCAATGAATTTCTAATTATATCAATTTTATATTTAAATAATTTGATTTTAAATCAATTTTACTTTTGTTGTCAATTGTGATGTGGCATCGAAACTTCTTTTGATATATATATATATATATGTATTTCTCCTAAACTATCCAAAAAAATCAATTAAACCCTTGAATATATTAGAAAAAAAAAATAAATTTAATTATTAGATAACAAATTTTCATCTAAGAAAATGAAAAAAAATATATAAATTTTAAACAAAAAATTAAGGAACATTTACACTAAAAGATTATAATTATAATTATTAATATTTTTAACATTTTTGTAATTAATTTTTCTGGATATCACTGTCAGGTTATTTCCCCAAAAATTAATGTATTTGGACTATTGAGTATTCTTTCAAGAGTTGTTACTAATTTTAGCATAGAGCGTCCTTCAGTCAGTGATATGATCAAGTTAGTATTAACCTCGGTATTGTAGGCTGAAATCTTTGGATATTCGTCTTCATCATTCAATATATTGTTTCTCAAATTTTGAAAAAGGATGTTTCTTTCAAAAGAAATGTGGTCTAAATTTTTATCCATACAATTTTCTATCTACTACTATTCAATCAGTTCTATTGAAATTAATTTGAGAAATAGGCTAGCTACAATTTTCGAGAGAGAGAGAGAGTTGATCAAGAATTTTGAGCTTAATTAGTTATGTAGGATGGAATCAAGATAATTTGAGACTTAAACTAGGCTTTTTATAATTTTTTAAATGCTTTTTTTAATTTAAAATTTCTTTTTTTTTTGACCTTTTAAGACAAATATATATGTGTTAAATATAGTTTTTAAATATATTCAAGAGTCTAATTGACATTGGGTGGTAAAATAAAATTTCAATGTTATGTCATCAAGTTCTATTTGATTATGGATGTAACGCCCCAAATAAATACAATTAAACCCAACTCATAAGCGGAAGAATAATAGAAGCAATATACTTTCATTCATTAGAGTCCATATACAAAAGGTGACACATGCGATATACATTCATGAATGGCTCATCTTGAATCTACAACATGTGTTACAAGAGATAAAGAAATAAGAGTTAACAGATATACACATGTCTTAATGGCTTACATCTTTCCAATGCCATACTTGGTTACAACAAAATAGATACAAATCCAATACATATAAAACCCCTGGCTAGAATTAAAACAATTAGCACGATACAAAAGAGAAGCCTTCAGCTCCTTTTCCTCCTAAGCTATTGCTTTAGTTGTGATATCCAGTGTCTTGCACCCGACTTGAACGTGCCTTTCGAATCTACCTTTTTCTTGTTCGGTAACTTGATGACCTGGTTGCATCGATGTTTGGAAGTTCGAACTTGTTAAATCCACTTCGCGTTAGACCAAGTTAAAGTTTTCAAATTCGAGCGTAAAGAGGAAATTGAGGGGACTGGGATCACCTCAAGAAGTTCGGCCTGAGTTGGGTGGAACTGCATGTGCGGATTAGGGGCTGCACGTGCGGGGTTGAGCTAGGTACATGTTTTGGTTCTGTATTAATTGTACATGCGGTGGAAAAATTCCGCACATGAGGGAAGGGCTTTACACGTGCGGTGAGGGGCTTCGCACGTGCTGCCAGGGACGTGAAACTGCCTCGATTTTTGTGTTTTTCAGCTACGTATTGACCATTTGTCCCTTTTTCATTTATTTCAGACTCTCTCTCTCTCTCTCTCTCTCTCTCTCTCTATAATCTTTTCTCTCATCCTTCTCTACTCAAACCCTCAAAACTTTACATTTCCTTTTGATCTTGTGAATCCATTGGGATTTTGGTACTGGTTCCTTATACCAAAATGACGAGTATATCGAGAGCTTCGTTTTGACTGGTGGAGATCGAATTCCGGCGAAGTTGATTTTTGGCTTTTCTCCTCTTCTCTCCTTGAGGTAGGGATCTCTTTGATCTTTTTCAATACCTCGTCTATAGATAGACACGTGGTAGGTTTTATTGCGTAAAACCCATGTTTGTTATGGATTTTTTTGAAAATCATGAAAAGGGATCTAAGACTTGATATTTGAGATTGAGGTTTGTGAAATTGATTGTTGTTTGGGTTACTTGGGAAGTGGTTTAACATGTTCATATTTAAAAAGAGGTAAAGCCCTAATTTTTGTAATAATGCCTAATAGGTAAAAAGGATTGAAATTGTGAAATTATCATGTTATGGATTACGGAATTTGATTAATGATTTGGTAATTAATTTGAGATTAAATCGGGTCTCATAATTTTAGCATTAACTTTGTGTTGGGTTGATTATAGTTGAGTATAAAGAATTGGCAGCTTGCTATTGCTAAAAAGGGGGTTAACCATGAGATTAGAATCATTGGTTTACACTTTTGTTGAGTTGAATTTGAGTGGATTATGACTTGGTGTATTGTGAATTGGGAATTGTGGAAATTGATTTTGGAAAGAAGAGGAAAGTATAACTCTTTTGCAAGTTGAGAAAGAACTTTAGGTAGAAGTTAAGAACCTTTGACTATTATTGTTATTGTTGGACTTAATGCCTCATAAGAATTGGCTATGTAATGCCCCAATTTCTAAGCCCAAATGTTGATACAACGATCATGGTTCTTTAAAGGAAAACATAAATAAATTCCCATACTTGCATTACATGACACAAATAGTTCTCATGAGATAATACATTCAATTCAAAACAAAATAAAACAAACAAATAGATACCCTCAAGGGTTTACAAGTTTCCAAAGCTTAAGCCCGGTTACACAAAACGGTTATTCAAACCCGCACAAATACAGCCCTTGGCTTACAAAATAGAGTCACGTAAAATGAGAGCATTGTACTCCCAACACACACACTTCCACGCCCCTAGTTGGGTGGAATCACCACATCTTTTCCTGCACAAAAATCCCGTAGGGTGAGCATAAAACCCAGTAGGAAATTCTTAACAAAGTATATACATTTTATATAAGTCTCAAGAGAAGAAATGCACATGCCATGCTATGCCATTTTTGAAGATAAATTACATTTTCATCTTTTGAAAACCATCATGCTCAATGATGTCATGCAATTTCAATTGTTCAAAACTTAATAATTTATTTCAAGGGCGGTAAATACAACTCCGGTAATCCCTAGGTCGGTGTCTGCAAGTAGACTATACTAGTACTACTAAATTGTCATTTTTACCAGTATTAACCAGAAGGCTCGACACCTATCTGCGCGGGTTTTCGGTCTTTCACCCCGGACCCTCAGGCCAACTTATTCAATTTCATCTACACCACCTATCAAGACTTACCAACGTATTTACCCCAAAACCATTCTATGAAAACTTGTTTTCTCAACATTCCTTTCTCAATGCAAGTTTTCAAATCGACTTTCAAAGTTTAATGTAATCAAATGAATTGATATGTCAATGCAACAATAATCAATACAATGTAACAATTCTTCCACATAATACTACCATTGTGATCAAAATTCTCGTTTCTCATTTCAATGTAATTTCACAAGATGAATAAATATACATTTATTTCAATTCATCCGAGGAATAACACATGTTCCATATTTCGAGCATTTTCAACAAATTAGCCATTTCAAGACTAAATCAACATTTTGAATAACAATTTTCAAAATGAATAACAACTCTCATATTTCTCAAATTTTGTCATTTATACAATATAAATAAGAAATTTCCAAACATCACTTATTTTGGGCATTCAAAATAAATATAACAATATCAACCATGGATTTTTAACTTCTTTTAAAAATCCCCAATTTCTAGGTTTTCTCACCAAAACCATCCATCTTCAAACATTTGAGAGAAATCTCACCAAAATCCACTTTCTTCAATCAACATAATTCAAAACCCTCAATTTCCATTTTTTTTTTTTTTTAGGAAACAAGAAAGTAAACCCACTTTTGAAAATTATTCATCTTCTTGAATCAACTACTCATTTTCAAAGCAAGTCAAAGGATGATTTCAAAATCATCTAGATCTTGCAAAAATATATATATATATATATAACTCAAAGAAAATCCCTACCTTAAGTTTTGAAGAGAATTTGAGATGAAACCCCAAAATTTACGGTGTCGAAACTCAATCTCCACCGCACACAACGAAGCCCTCGAGGTGATAACCAACTTTGGTGAAGAACTTAGGCCTAAATCCCAATGGATTTGGAGAAATCAAAGAAAGAAGATGACTTCTAGAGAGAAAAGCTCTAGATCTGAA